TCTCTGCCATATAACTTTGAACCTTCGGCGCATTCGCAGGTCATAGATTTCCCGATTGCGGATCTGTAGATAACGCAATAAGACTACTAGTCTGAGACTAGTGACAACGTTCAACGTTGCTTGATTGGCAATCTCGCGCGCACTTGGTAATCCAGACTTCGGTGAATGGCCCCTCGGTTCTCCAATCCCACACTCTCGAGTCGGAGGGGCTTCCGTGTATCGAAGAGTACGTCCGTGCAAGATGCGGAGGTAGCCCCTGTGAGGGCCGCTAGCATAAGGCGTAATCTATCCGAACATGCTCTTGGACTGACAGTTAGAGCCATGGACTATGGAGCGAGCAACTGAAGTTTAACCCATGGCGGCACCGTCTATGAGGGTCAGGTGGCAGCTGAGCCGCCGCTGAATTTTTCACATGTCTTCGCGATGGCATGTAAAAAATTCGGAGGATGGGCGGTTATGTTGTTCACTTTCCTAAGGCTTTCACCGACACTGTCGGGTGCAGAAGCCACAAGTTCAGAATTTCTCGCTCTTCACTGTTTTCAGGATTCACTGTTATCAATCGCGCCGCTATGATATGGAACGCGATGCAGATCCGCTCACCTCGCGGGTACATCTCAGCAGTGCGAGTTCCTAGCGTAACGACTCGACCATCCGAATCGGTATTTAACCTTGGTTAACAGTTTATCCCAAATTGCGTGTATCCCTCCCTAACGACCCTTTCAAGAATCAAAGTTGCTCACGGTTACAATTCACATCAATCGCTCTTACTTGCTTCAACAGCACGGATCCGAACGGTAATCCACGGCGCGAACTACGAACTCGACACATGTGCGTGAAACTCAAGTCCTCTGCATCAGGATTGGGACGGGTTCTGCGAACCCATCCGTAAACAAGACCACTTTAACATCACCTCTCGTCTGACGCACGAGATACTCGAAAGCCTTAACGTCATCCTCATCATTCGCGAATTCTCTCGTAGATATGGGCAGTATACGCACATCGTTCAGATTCTGAACTTCAGAATACCCGCTATACCGATCCTGTTATTTCTGATAGCGCCAATGACGCCAGCCATAAGGGTTCCATGCGGTCCTCGAGGACTGGTATTACTATTTTTATCAACGACGTTGTAGCCCTCGATGACGACGCCCTTCAAATCAGGATGACTTGCCTCGATTCCATCGTCTATAACTGCGATGGTCACCTGCGTTCTCTTGGGAGTAGAGTCCAGGATACCTCAAGCCTTCGGTACAGAGATGGCCTCAAGATAAGCCTTTTGGCAACGATAGAATCGGTCGTTGGGATCGCCGTTCACAGGACCGAACCCACTCAGCCTTGCCTTGACATATTGAAGGTCGCACGAGAAGAACCAGAATGATGTTACGAGGAGCTTCATTGCCAGGCACTAG